ATACATACTAATACCAATTATTGCGGATAGTTTTACATTCTTCGGTGTGCCTTTCGATCAAAATATACTGCACGTCTCATGGCGCGATTTTCGCGGAAATATTTTCGAAAAAAACCTTTTCGTTTCGAATAAGAAACGGTTATTGTTCTTAGAGCATCGACGTACTTACACGTGCGGAATTGTTAATCTTATAAAATCGACGTCTCGTATGTTGTTCGAACAACATATACGGGTCGTTTTAAATGAGTACGCCGAAACTGCCATGCACGGCAAAAAAAAACATGATTTGTGCTCGATTTATCGACTCTGATAGTGGGAACTCGCGACTCAAGTCTAATTGATCGATGTAATTGATGGGAAAAAAATTATCCTGCTCAATAAAATCGACCGTACGCTTTGATTTGCACTCGACTGCTTCGGCAGAAGGATTAAATCTTCGAGTGAAAATATTAACTTCCCAGCGCACTTCTTAAGTGGCTCGATGACGCAGGGCAGAATTCCGAGTCCTGCTTGGGTTTGTTGTTGTTGTTGTTTGATGTAGTGACCACGCCGTCGTAGTTCAATAACACGCACAAAGTAAAACATTCTTGAAGTGCATTCCGGATGACGTTGCCGGTTTGAGCTCGTCTCGAATTGCGCAGCAGACGTTGAGCCGTTCGGGGACGAGCTTCCGCTTTATCGATTTGTCAAACGGAGAACGACGCGTCGGTACTGAAATTCGGCCGGGGGTTAGGCGCCGAAAGAGAATTTGGACGCGTTCGAACGGCGTAAAACCGAACGGGTGCATCACCGTCTCCGATGAGTTTCGGCGTATCGAGAAAAACCGGTACGATTCGGCAACGCGGCCGGTTGCAAGTCGGCTGCATCAGCATCATCTCCTTGAACCGGCGTCCTTGTGCTGGTCGGTGCATTCGCGCGGGTCGCCGAACATTCTTGCCCATTGAGGAATGCCCCTGGGGCCCCACAATGAACACAAACATACCGCCGGCACCCCCCACGTGTATACACACACACACACACATACGCGCGTACTCTCTCTTTCTCTGCGACCGTACGAACTGGCTCAAATTCTTGGGTTTCGTTCCATCCAGGGCTCCGCCCGACCATATTATTTCGTGTGTTTTCTTTTGATTTCTCTTCTAATGAATAAGTACGTTTTTGGGTTTTCATTTTTAAATTGTCTACTCAATAATTAGCTTTGTTTTGGTACCTGATACAAACGTTCTTCTTTTGCAAAGAATTTACTCTTTATGCTATCTTAATAATTCTTTCACCAGTTGTCTAGAGCATTCTTCAGCTTCATTAATAAATCTTCAACTCAACAAAATTCCTATTTAATTACTTCTCGTTGTATAGATTTTTTTTACATTTCTCTAACTTCGTCGGAGGCTAACGAAATTACAGTTGCGTCTTGCGTGGCATTCGAATCTTTCACGTGTCTACGTTGAAGAGCGATCCTCCCTCGAATTCGCGATTTGCATCTTTTTTTCCCTTCCAGTGGAGAAGACAGATCCCATTAAGGTGGTTGTCGGCGGTGGCCAATCTTATTTATACGAAGAGAAGAAAAGCAAGAAGAAGCGACCGGTGCCAGTGGCAGGGCCCGATGGCCTCAAATATGTGGACCGCATTTCCAAGAATTGGCCACTGAACTTGAAGCAATGCGCCGCTCAGTCGCATTTTTCCTTGTTGTTCTTTTCAGTGGCGTATTACGAATTTCTTCTGCTGGTAGTACCCATTGCGATACATTTAACTGGACAATTATTATTTCTTATACTATGACTTGATAATTTTCTACATTTTAAACCGCATTTCTTGCGAATTTCCATAAATTTTCTTTGAATTTAGGCCACATTAATTTAGGAAAAGGACAGTTCCACCACTGCCGTTTCCTATCTCTTGTTTGAGTTGACTTGTTATAGGACATAATTCTTGAGGATTTATGTGGATTTATACATTTGCTACAATACACACGCACGAACACAGGGTGTTTACAATGGGAGTTGAAGAATATTTCGGCATTCCCACGGTTGGTGGAAAGATGTCTCGAGGTTCGAAATAATTTAGCGTTTCTAAAAACTGTCGAAAAATCATCGATTTGCGAATCGCAATGCAAATTGAACGGAAAGTTGACCCGCATACCGCGCTAATAATCACGATATTTGCTAGGATATAATCTCGATATGAAAGTATTTTTAAATATGTAATTACGGGTCGTATGAATGTGTACAATAGCCATATTTAGGTGTAAAAACAGCGTAAAATTCAATTTCCGGAATCGATGTGAATTATTAAAACTTAATTTTTCGATTGAATGAATTCATGTGTTATACAGTAGTTTAATTATTCAATTTTTGTATCAATTAGATTGTTTTGTCTTGTTTTTGATTTTTATTTTGCTTATCGTTTGTTTGGTTATACAAGAGCGATTTATTTATGGATGTCATTTGTACTATTACAATGAGTAACATTTGGAATTAATCCTGTTGCTTGCCGGTTGATAAATAAATAAACGAATATCATAATTTGAACTAATGAGCTTATGGTTGTTTAGTTAATAGCATTTTGTATGTTTGAATATTCGTTTTGGAAATATAAATTAAATGAATGAATATATAAATTCATATTCATACGAGGATACGGTTTGATTTTTGCATTAATGATGCTCTAAGTACGTACGGGACAAAGATTCAATTTTTGTTATATTTTTGTCCAAGATATTCTTACAGAACCTCTTGTGGTATGTAGAATGAGCGCTTTAGGGTTCGGTTCGCTGTGCTCTTCAAAAATTCCAATACGGTTATTTTTCGATATTATCCCATCAAAAAGAGATCAATACTATCCTTAGCGGAAAAAAGTCGACCAGCCGTACACACACACTAGTCTAGTCCGAGAGATACATTCGTAAAAGTACATTTTTAAAAGGATATAAACGCATCATTTTTTCTGATAAAAATAATTGAAATAAAAACATATTTTATACCTAATACTTCCTGGTCAATATTTATAATAAAAACGAAGTTGTTAAGACCTTCTATCGAAACGAAACGAATCTGATTTGGCAATTTTTGTTTGATCTACCTCAGGTACTACGTATTGCTCCTTAACGTGATAAGCGGTAATAACATACCTGAAAGGAGGAAAGGAACCTGTTTTCGGGGTTTGAAGGAGCATTCTTATGCATGATAATGACAGGGCGGCGCTGTTTTACACCGCGCACACATATACACTCGCACACATAATGAATGTGCAAGAATTCCAATCGTCTGCCATGTAAAAGAATTATTGAAAACTCAAGAATTTAGAAAATTAACCACGTTAATTTTAACTGGTGGGATATTTCTTGTTGAACAGCTCTTTAGATTTGTGTTTCAACACATTTCTATTCTATATGCATACCCTTATTGTCTCTCCTATCGCATTACAAAGTAGTACATACTTATTCTGGTATAACAAGTCTTATTACAAGATTACCTTACGTGGTCAGAAAAATTGCGATGATACAAGTACCTACCTGCACAGTACATAAAGGGATAATGTTGATTTATATGAGATATATTTAAAGGCATTTGATCGATATTTTACACGTTGTAACAACCTTAAATAATATCTACATCTTTAGGTGTGATTCTCTTATACTAATATAAACTATTTGTTACAGGTAAGCAGATTTTTATACATGTAAACGGGGCTTTATGTACGTAAGTAATTGCTTCAAGTTTTTTAAACAATTTTGTGTAGATTATTAATTATGGTATTTTCGCATTTACATGAAGAAAGTGAAGCAACAGCATTCGCTTTCTAATCAAATCAATGTAACTTTCGACATTGAAAAAATCGAATTTTGTAATTTGCGATATCATCCGCGATTTTCCGTCCGTTTTTAATGAATGGAACCGCGTAAAAAGCGAAGAACTTTTTTTTTGAATGAACGAACTCGACGGTTATTAGACGAACGAAGAGCGAGAGCGATCGAGGACCTAAGCAATAAGTACGGACGCATTCTTTTGAGTAAGAGCGAGAGAAGGGGCCCTCGGACTTTGATGGGTCTTTATCCGGAATGATATGACAAGCCGCGTTCCTCGGGCCCGTTAAATTTGCGATAGGAACGGTGGATTACAAGACGGGTTATGTGTAAAGTATTGGTCTACTATTTGTAAGCATTAGCACTTGGTTTGAGTTGAATTGAAAGTGCAAAAATTTGGAGTGTTTAATAACAGTATTGCCGATAATAGCCGTAATAATATCGATTTCATGGTCGCGAACTCTTGGTGGAAGAACAAAAAAAACGGATCGATGCATTTCGCGCATAATAACAATTTCAAGCTACGAAATATCCGCTGGTTTTGACGTCATCGATAAGATCGACAATATTGAATTATTTGTTTGTTGTTATTGATTCGTCGTTTACAAAGAGATTTTTTTTCTCCGGAGAAAGACAGTTTTACGGATATTGTGAAATCTGTTTACAATTAGATTAGATACGTTGGACATTCCCTCGTACACACATAATGCACATACGAACATTTTCAAGTGAACTTTATACCTACCAGTATGAGCCAATATGATACACGTATTACGAACTACGTACATGTTCGTTTCGTAAAAGAATAATATTTATAATTTCGACGAGAAGAATCGATTCGAAATTAAATTGGTAAATAAAGTTTTATCTAGGATCTGGCACGAAGCGAAGAAATCCGTCTGGATATAGGAAATGCCGTTCAATCCCATCATTGCAGCATAATTTCTATAAAAGCATATAAAATACCATTTTCGAACTAAAGCGCAGTAATTGTGGAAAAAATTGAGTTGCGAACAAACTGGAAGATTATACTTTAATCAACTTAAACGTAAAAGAGCACCCTACGGGGATTTTAAACAACCCTTCAGGACTAACAAATCTCACGGCGTGCGTAAGCGACGCGATCTAGAGGGAGGCAGTTATGCAACGTCTTTTTTCCTCGTTAATAAGGAAGCAAAGGAGCAAGAAGAAGCGACGTTTAGCCGAAGTGCTGGCGGTCAGAGAGCCAGAGTTGGCGTTCGTCTTGGGCGGCCTGCGTGCCTCGGCCCGCCCGGCCCAGGTCAATGCCTCTCTCTTCGGAAGAAGCCGACGTCGTCATGGATGTGCCCCTGCTGCAACGGAGACTCGATGATCCCAATCCAACTGGACGGAAATTTCGATATGCGCCAGCTTTGGGGCTTTTCATCATTTATTCTTACGTATACAGTTTTAATATACGCGCTTGTAAGGAGTTGTTTCTGTATGGTTTGGGGATGAGTTAATGGTGGTTTCTAAATTAAATTTATTCGTTCTTTTTTAGAAAATGTTTGTGTAATTTTCATGCAAATTTAATCATTCCTTTCAAAAATATGAAGTTACCGCAATGATTAATTTTAATTAGATTGTTATTATATCATGAAATCAGAATTATTTTCAATTTTCAATTCAATTTTTTTATTGTGTTTCTTGAGCTTTCAAGCCTTGCTCAGAAGTTGCAACTTCTTTATACATAAATTATTACCGTATTTTCTTAAAATATCCTAAGAAATTAGTAATACATTTTTTTCTAAAATAAAGGTAGGTAGTCCAATGGACCACAAGGGATCGACTGGACAGCCGATCTTAAACTCGACGCGTCGTGCATCCGGCTATTTACATGCTTCTTCATTCCATTGGAAAAAAAGTCCTATTATCATATATAGAGAAATTCCCAGTAAAGGCAGTTAGATAAATTAACGGGTACGTTGTCACCAGTACGGTCTTGTTACGCGCGTCTATTTCTATCTTTATTCCGTATTGTAATTCTCTATCTATCCCGCGTCAGTTAATGTAAATAGCGCCGGTGGTTCGGGTTATTTAACTTCTGGACAAATATTTCAAAATGTAAACACTCGGATGCTGATGCCTTTAAAAGTTGAATGAAAGGTACTCCTGTAATTATTTAGGACTTTGTTTTATCATTACTTTTTTGAATAGGCGTAATAAGGGGATAGGTGAAGTAATCAAAAGGATGCTGGATATACTAATTTTTTTTTCTATAAATTTACCCCTTTTAATTTGGATGAATTGAAGCACTACAAATAGTTCTCTACGACGTTTTTTGATTATAGGTTAATCCTAATTTTACAAGTTCTTCCTAAAGATTCAACTTATTTATCTTGTATACAAATTATTTGTATCTCAAAAGATTAAAGAAAATTGGCTTTTTAATAAGATGACTTAGTTCACATAATGGTTAATAAAAAACTATATTTTATTGGTAAGTTAATTATGTATATTATGTTAGGATGTGCAAGGTAGGTATCCCATATTAGAAATTCAGATTTCAGTTTGTTTGTAAATTTTTATGCAAAACACGTGCAATTAAAACGGAAATAAAGCTCTAGATATTTTAGAAATTGTCTTAAATTTGGTATTTAAAATGTTTAAAAAAATTCACTCAATTAACAACATTTAGAAGAGAAATAATTTATAATTTACAAACAGGCTTAACCTATTCTATGAGCTTTTGAGTTTCGGAGCTTACTACTACTACTAGATAAAAGCTTAAATATTAGTCACTTCCAGGTATTCCATATTTTGCAATTATCCCAAAATCAGGCACTTTTGGGCACTCTACCATACCAAAATCGCATACCCTACTATACCGGAAGGACGCCGATTAGAAATAAACCAGCGAATTAATATGCCGAATTAATCGTTCGGTCGCAAGGTGTCAAATGCAAAGTGTGGAAAATCGAAGAGCGGTTTCGAAATATGCATATGAATGAAAATGAGCGTCGATTAGAAACATAGCGTAGCGCTATGATCGCTTTAATAGTCCGCTAGTAAATAGTATTTCCTGTATCAATACGCGACCGTAGAGCGTTCGGAATCGTTCACCAACCGACAACGTTGCCGAACGCGCCATCTCCATGTCGGCCCGCCGCCGTTTCGCCGTTTCTTTTAGCTTTTAGTTTAGTCGATTCGAAAGTGTGTAGAGGGAATGCAACAAAAACCGAACGTACTCGGTGGGTTTCGAAAAATTTGGACGATTTAGAGAAAAAAATAGCACGCGTGGGCGATTTTGTGTGTGATTGTATTTTCGTCTCGTAAAGTGCGGATAAGAGTGACATTGCGCCTTTCGATGACACAGGATATAAAATCATATTAATCAACGCGACGCTATGGTAAACACGTGTAAAATTCATAACAGGATGCAAAACAGGAAACTTTTATTAGCGCTTCTCGCGGAACGAGGTAAGATTGTTGTGTTTTGTTGTCTTTCTAGATGCACCTAGTGCCCGTTCGTCCAAACGCCCGAGTGTTTTGGTTCGAATGACCGCATTAAAATGTTTTAAAAGTCGTTTTATGTCTTATGTAGGTACAACCGGGAGACCGTGAGAGTCTTCTTGACTTTGGAATGCGCGTATACCGTTATGAGGCAAACAAAACATAACCCCTCTCCCCACGGCGGCCCGCATTCGTCGCAGATGAGGTTTAATTGCGCATAACTAACATATTTCGTTGGCTCTTTTTTTTTCCTTTCCTCTCCGTTTTGACGATTTCTCGACGAATGAGACGCTTACGTGCATCCATTCATGAGGAAGTGGCCGGCAGTCACAACAAAGCGGTCCTTTCGCTAAAAACGGTCCGATTCGACGTAGAAAATTATTACAAACCGCGCATTTATCGCATCACTAAATAAAATGCTTGGAATTTCTTTCGAATCGCAATAATCCGATGATGCGTCGAAATTCGCTCAAAGGAATTTTAATTATCCACATGTATATTACCTGTTTTATTTTGATTAATTCATTTTGTACAATTTTACTTTTTATATAGATGTATCGATGCACTATTTTTTTTTAATTATTTGCTATACACACGCTACAATGCAGTTTATCATGTTATTCATGTGCTTGCAAATGATTGACAGCTATTTTAATGAATGAATGTGTAGATATTACTAATAACTAAAAAATTTGATTCATAACTAACACCTGAAATTGAAAAAAAAATGAGTAATACTAATTAACTATTCATTTTTACAAATCGAGGTGTATTAATTACCGATGATTATACCTGTAGATGTTTACGAATAATTTTAACGATACTACTATATTTTTGGTCGCATTTATTTTTGCTTTTGGTCACGAATCGGACGGGTTTGTAGGGATTTTTCGACGGTCCGTTTTCGGGATAGGGACGCACCTCTTCCTTTTTTTTCTTCCTTCGGCTGGCGCACGGTGGTCGAGGTGAAGGAAGGTCGATTTGTTTTGCTTTTGTGCGTAACGTCGTGACGACCGACGACCTCGATTCCGTGGTTGTGGTGCCGGCATCGTCCTTGAGTATTACGCATTGCGAACGAACGTTTATCCTTCATTCAGTGCAAGTACGTTTCGTCTGATCGTTCGCGCCTTTAAAAATTGCACCGCGTTAATTAATCTCGTCTTCGGCGCGTTAATTCGTCTGCGTGCTTTGCCGGATTATTTTTGAAGCCGAATTATTTTTTTTTACCCGATATTTTTCTCCATGTTTTAATTAGATTAAGAGGATTCCTCACAATTGCAAACATTTCGAAACTAATCTCGTAACTACCTATATGCCTACTTGACAAATTTCTACTCAAAATTTTGGTGTGTGAATGAATGGCAAAAATTTCAAACTACTAAACTATCTTAATCGTTTTTCAATATAACTGATGATGTGTGGTTTGAATTTTGGCGCCAAATGTTTTAGCTCAAACTGCTCCTTTTTTAAATAAAAAAAAATTGTGCGCTACTGGGTTTATAAGTTTTTTTTTGGGCCCCCTAACGTTTTGTTTTATTACCTGGCCAACTTAACCATCGAAGTCGATGAACTTCATTTAAATTTAGACGTTTAGAAATCGTTTTAAGTTTCAACGAGAAATAATAAAGAAAAGCTACATACATCCTAGAGTTTGATCACATCTAATCCATACAACACGCTTTTAACAACGAGAATATTGAAAGCCAAAGCAATAAAATTATAAGCAATAAATTTAATTACCTATTATTGATAAGAATTAATTTCCAAATGGCTTATTCTGCTAAATTTTTGTGAAAAAAAATTCTATGCCTTCCTGTTGCCAGTTTATTTTTGGATAAATGATTTTTTTTGGGTCAAAACGTTGACTCAAGCGGCTAGGAATGCGACACAAATACACAGACGGCATTTAGAATTTCCATTTAATAAGTCGGTTAATCTATATACGCGAGAACCTCGTCTCTCTAAATATAAAGCGTGATAAATACATCCATTGAAACCGCTAAATGACGAAAAGACGTCCATTCGTGCGAACGTCCGAAAATCTATCGAAACAAAGCGCGTTTTAAACATTCGAAACTCGTTAATTTTATTGCTAATTGTTTAATGCTGAAGTAGATGTTCCAAATATCTAATATGGATGTATTATGTCTTTGTGTTGAATTTCTTAAATTGAATTTATGAACATTTAAGATTTCATAACATTTTTTAGATTTATAGTTTAAAAAATATGTATTTTTTTCATTTCATTTCCAGTTCCTCCGCCACAATTTTAATTAGCGATCTTTTGTTTAACCTGAACTTTAAATATAAATCAAACACCCACCTTTATTGGCAATGATACCAACTAATTTTTGAACTCAAATCTTCCAATATTCCTTAATAGACATTTTGTGAAAAGTCGTGAACTTGTAATTTTAAAATTCAGCTAATGTGTTTGTTACAATCTGCAGGTAATCAATCAACTGGATAATTTTTTCTGGTATTCAAACAACGATAAGTTTTAGATATTTGGGTGGTAATTAAATTTGTTCATATTGTTCATATGTATTGAAATATAAAGTCTGCAGAATTTTAAACGAGGGGTCGAATTGCCTAAAATCGCCGGCGTGATCAACGAACCGTTCCTCCTGAAGGTATCTATTTCGGGTAAGTCGTTCGGTGGAAAAACGTGAGCGCATTGCCCCCCAATTTGGCGCGAAATCTGCCGCTGAAAGAACAGTGACCCACAACGCCGTACACTCGCATTATAGGTAGTTTTTCTCTCCGCGTCTCTTTCACCGCCGATACCAGGAATGCCTTCGGAATTCTAACCCCGAACCGGTCGCGGCCCGTTGGTACATCCTTAGAGAAACTCTTTCCTTTTTTTTTAATTTCATCTAAAAGAAAAGGAGCAGACGTTTTTTTCGGAACTCTATACCTGCTCGTTTTGATTCCGAGAAGAAATTGGGATTCTGAAATTTCGAACAAGGGCGAAATGAATGCATAATGGAACGGCTCGTTTGATTTCCTAGAACGTTTCTGTAAAGGTAAATAAATGTGTTAAAAGTAAACTTATAAAGGTATATCTTCTACCTGTCGTTTTGGAACTTTTAACAATTTACTTAAATACGTGTTACCTATAATATAAGTTTACAAAAGGTGCGCTCAACAATAATTATTAGATAAAACGTAGATATATTACAATTTATAATTAATAGATATTAATAGGCAGGACATTGTTGTCAACACTACAGTATAATTACCTGTGACAACATTCTGAAATTAACATATTGAAGTTTTCTATAGTTTCAAATTTAAAAATACCTACCGAATTTCTCATTTAACAAAATATTTAACAGATTCATCAACGTTATTCAATAAATTCCGTTTCCCAGAAGGGTTGTACTTATGTTAAATTGGTTTGTTTTCTTAAATTTTTGAATAATTGTCTTAAATTCGGTCTATTTTGAAATATTAACAAAACGTCTGGTACTCGGTGAGTGTCCCAATTTCGTTGCGACACCTGTTAATGATTATTTTAGGAATGTATTTTTGGATTCGGTTATATTTAATTCCCTTTACGCCCGCTATTTATTTTTCGGCTTTGCCTAAATAATTTAGCCTGTGTTCACTTTAGCAAATCCGGCTTTTAATTCATCGAATACTCTATTATATGTTGTGTATCTATAGACAAAACGATAAAATGACTAACGAATTACTCCCTACGCATACATCGTAAATAATAATTACTTTTCGTGAAATTCGATGTAAAATTGATCCATTTGATTTTTGGAATCGAACGCTTTTGATTGTCCTATATTACATTACATCGCTGACCGAAGTAGCATTATCGAAACCCACCCTTCTATATGCGATAGAGCCGATTGTATTCCTCCCCTTTGATCGAATTACGTTCCAATTTCGGTGAAAAATATCGACGAAGCAACGTTACTTTTCCGCTACCCACGCGTACACCCGATGATTCATAATGAGCGATGAGGAAACGCGATGGCGTGCCCGCCAGAATTTCGAGTCGACTTGCAATTTTTGGCGTGATTATAATGTATACCTAGTGTGATTAATTGTTTTCGATATAATGTTTAATATTTCCTTCATCCTTTGAGATCCAGGCATTTAATGGAAAATCAATTTTTTATGTGAAAATGGTCTACACGCATAAAATACTCTTTTGCGTTTCTTCTTTATCTGTGTATTCGTATCCTATATCGTTGTATACAATTTCAGATTTTCCTGAAAATTGCGATAAATTTCCGGGGACTGTTATTCTCGATACTTCATTCTACGGGACTATCTATGAGGGAGAACCGATATATGTAGCTGAATGAGTTTCGGGATTCCAAAAGGTCAATCTTTTGCTATGGTTTATTTAGTGTTGCTTATAAGTGTAAAAGGCTAACAAAAGTTTGAAGCACGTTTGAATGTTTGCTGCACCTAATTTTTTTTGTGTACCTAAATCGATGCTTCTTTTAAGAGGGTAAATATCAAGTAATTAAAATTCGTCGTTCTTTAACTTACATAATCCACTATAGGTGCGTTAATGATGACGTTAATAAGATTAGTTGAAGATGAGACAGTTTCGCATCGAATTTACAGGTGTAGCGCACGCATCGCACAAATAAAAGGTCATTGCACTAGGGAATTCCCGGTATGTAAACGCGTGTTTGTGTGTAATACACACGTGTAAGTCTATACGTGTAGTAATTCATATCATTCACTTATTTATGATTGTTCCACATTTGACCATCATTTTTCTTTCGTATTTTACATTAAATTATAGATAAGCATACTAAATGTTAAAGAGTTTGCAATAAAAAATATGTATGTACCTAATTAGATTTTTAAAAATTTTGAAAATTATTATGGAGATATTTAAGAAATAATATGATGCATCGCATTTTCAAAAGCTACTGTGCGTGCTAAAATTTATTAAAAACAATATTAAATGTTCCATGGTTGAATAGTTATTATTTAAAATGTCTTGCTCAATTCTGTTCCGGCGCATGCATAATTTAATGCATTTTACCTAATATATAACAGAAAATTAGTTCACCTTCCTAAATTATTAAATTATCCCACTTTCGTATAGGCAACCAAAAAAAAGTAGCTTAATTTACTAATTAAATATTATAAATGCATTAAGTTGCAGTGCAAGAAAGACTGAAAGTATCTACATTGAATACTTCTTTATATGCGTCGTCGGCGTCGAATCGCGTCGCGGCGCTCCGGTCCATACTGTATTTTGTATCAACAGGTGGCTTTTTAATCTTTATATATTGAAGTAACCAAATAACAATACGCGATTAATTCGAGCCGCATATAGGGGGATGTAGATCAACAGGGGGTAGCAAATTTATATGCGATCCGAGGAACGTGGAATTGACCCGAATATTTTACACTCCATTTACGTTTGCCTATATTCTCTCGATATAGTATAGGTACGTTATGTTAAAATCGTAATAGATACATGCACCTTATCGATTATCAAATAATTAGATAATCCTTTGGTGGTGCATGAGAAATTAGGAATAATTTGATACAATGTTTTTTTGTGACGATCTCAATAAAATATTGATTTGAATTATTTGTAAAATTGTTAACTTGCAGGTTGATAACTTGAAAGTTGTATAATAATAGGTATGTACGGCTTAGGTATGTATTTTACAGCTTATTAACTTTGTTATATGTTTTAAAATATACGCAAATTATACGCACATACTGTATACTAATAGCACATACTGTATACTAATATTTAATTGCGATTTTCACAGGTAAATAAATTTTTGTGCCTATATACATATGTATAGGTACCTACTTACTTATAATAAACCTACCTATGGTATTTTTCTTTTAATTTTAATGACCAAATTACGACGTATTTGGTCAGTTATTTCAATAAACATTTTTTCGCGTCTCGATTCCGTCCGTTAGATTAGCAGTTCGAATAAAACTATTCAATGTGTCCGGTGCCTGGCTTAACTGAACGCATTAACATTCTTCTAGGAAATGCGAACGTCATTGTAAATTTTACAGTAATTTATCTATTTGAAGAAATAAGTCCAGAAACTGACCCACCATGCATATAGGTAGGTAGAGTCGACGACGGAGCATCGGTAAAATGACCATTGGTATTTCAGGAAGTGACTAGCACTCCAAGAATTCGATTGCCCATCTTGCGATTTAATCATTGGCGTCACGATTTGTAATATATTCATTTACATACTTTAGGTAGCTACTAGTAAACATATTTATTATATACCTACCTGCAATGTAGATATGAAGAATGTACCAATAATGAATGTAAAAAATATGATCGAAATGCGAGTTTGAAGAGAAAAAAAATTATTATTGACGGCGAAAGTTTCGCAATTCAGAATGTCGAAGAACGGGCGTCGAGACGATCCTCGACGTCGACGGTGAAATATCCACCCCCCATCAGTTCTGATTGAAAACTAACGTAATTAATTTCTAGACGGGGATCTCTGGAGGGCATATACGACGATCGTTCAATAACCAATAATTTTATACCTACAGATTTTTTTTATTTCGATTTTTGCGTGAAGTATACAGGGTGTTTCCTAAACATGCGGCAAAAATTCAGGTGGTTGTTCCTTGGACTATTCTAAGAATATTTTGTCCTTTGATGATTTTTGAAAAACCTCTTTGTTTCGAAGATACAGGGGAAACAAAATTTTAGATAATAACATTTTATTATGAAAAATTACATGAAAATTTAACTTAACCTACAAAAACTGTTGAAAATGACCACCTCTAGCCAGCATACAAGCATCCAATCTTCTCCTCATCCCCTTCGTTCTCCTCAGTTTAATCTGTATTCCTTTACCATCTGAACTTATCAATTTTAAGTCAAAAAACTGGCCGTTTTTAGTAATTGGAATGTTGTTAAACAAATTTAAAAATAAATTGTACCTATTTAGTAAACACAGTGCGGTACGCATTTTTATTTAAACTATTATTAATTTTAAAAATATGAAAAATGTTGTTCGCCCTGTATCTTAGAAACAAAGAGGTTTTTCAAAAATCATCAAAGGACAAAACATTCTTAAAATAGTCCAAGGAACAACCCCCTGAATTTTTGCCGCATGTTTAGGAAACACCCTGTATATGTCTAGATTGTAGATGTTTAAATTGATCTTAAAGTGTGTATTTGTTGCTTTTTTACAACAAAAAAAATATTAAAATATTTCTGTTAAAAAATCTTCTGATGGACTGATGATGTAAAGTTGTAGAACTGTAGCAAATAAAGGGTGTAATCATTATAGCATTGAGAAAAATACAAGGGTGCAATATTTCTTCAAAATTAAAAAGTGAATTAGAATTTAGATTTGTTGCGAATATTATAAATTCTGAAAAACATTCCCCGATTCGGCTTTATTAGGTATTTAAAATTTATTAACATTTTAAAAGTATTAACTCACATGCATTAAAAATATTCTTTATAATTAAGACATCCCTAGATTAAGGGATAAAATTGCACCATTGATAATAATTATTTTTACAAACTTTCGTGCATAGCTTTAGGTAGTAGTTACCTATACCTAATTTAAACAATATTTATACCGCACCAGAAAAATAATTAAACTTCATAAAAATTTATTAGCCCGTTCTAGTGCATTGTTATTAATGCAGAAAACGAAAATTCTCCGGCCAAAATCGAAAAAGAAAAAGACCAAAAAATATTACGCCGCAATTCTGCGGCATGAAATTCGCCCATGCGGTCGGCCATCTTAGATTAGTTGTCGCGGGGCGGAGTCTCATTCTCCAATGAATCAAAGACATAAGAGCGTGCCGATGATGATCGCGTACTTACGTTTACGTATACTACTATACCTACTATACTATATGGCTATGCTATGCTGAACCTCAAATCGCCCGCTTCGATATTAAAATAATATCCGCGATCTCGCTCGTGCACGATCGCGCTAACGCTCTCCAATGCCTTGATATTATCCATTCAAAATCTTTTTAAACCGACGTTAGCGCGGGAAATTCATGCGCCATGCGGATTTGGTGGTAAGATTAATAGTTTACGTATTGTATAGTCGTTGCTTGATTAATATATTTTTTTGGGAGTTCAAATTGCGCATATTTTGTTACTGCTATATTGAGTACATAGAAGCACTTAATACACAAAAAAACTTGCAAAAATGTGTTTTTACAAAAGTATCTACTTAGATTTTTGTTTTCAGTGACAACATTTTTATGATCAAACTAAGAAAATTTTAAAATTTTAATTAAAATGTGCCCTTTTATACCTTTTAAAATATTTTTTTCATCAAGAGAGGTCTTATTTATGATTAAATTTATCTTGAATCTGTTCCTTCTAGTTTTCCATATAGAGTTTCTTCATTTTGTTGCCATTTCACCAGTAAACTTCAAAATTATTTATAAGAGTTTGAAAGAAAGTTAAGAGTAAATATAAAAATAATGTATTCACTGAACTTATAAATCTATTGATCAGAATTACAGTATTCTCTCTACATTTACCTATAAGTATATAAAAGTATCAAATTTTTTAACTTGAGTTGGACTATAATTAGGTATCAAAACGTTAGGAACTTGTGAAGTAATTAAGCGAAAGCGTCTCATTAACCAGCATGCTGGTTAATACACCTTCGAGGAATTGTTAGTATAAGTACATCCAAAAGAAATGCTGGTATAGACTTCTAATAATGATGATGTGTGACATGTGCGAACCTGGATGGCAAATTGAGTTGAGCTAATAATTTGTTACTAATTATTTTCTACTTCAACCTTTAGAATTACATACGACAAAAATCGACTAATCGCAAATTGAATTGTGCTTTTTAAAATTTCGAATATTCGAACAAATTTTTTAACTAATTAACTGCTCATTCTTTGAATAAGCTTCTTATTTGCTTGCACAAATTCGCAACGTATTAATTATTAAACTTTCCTTTACTCAATATCCCAATCGATTTTTAACATGCATTCTGATCGCGTATCTCTTAACCGATGCCGAAAATATGGCGGGCGGTTTTCTCTTTTTCTCGTTCTTCTACTTCTTCTTCTTCTGCTCGTGGGAGACTGATGATGGAGTCTGACCGGCCATTTGAGTTACCTATCAGATAGGTAGATACTTCTACATAAGATGGACGTTCGTATTTGTGGTACCTAATACAGATAAACAGAATAGCAACTTTTATTAAATGGTTTTAGTTGGATTTTTTCTAGATTATTTATCTCCTATAATGCCTACCAAAAATGCTCAAATTGTTCAGTAATTTTCTGATGATAACGGTATTATCTTGTACACTGACCGCAAGGTCGGGTGATGATTTCGTATAGCTATTATAGCTTGTGATGTATAATAGTTCTTGTAATGTCGCATATGTAGGTAGATAGGAAATTAATATTTTTCAATTAATATTTTAAATATAGGTAGATTAATCTATTTTGACATGCAAGACTTTACTTACCTGTAAGAAGTGATCGATCTCTCTAATTTATTCATTGAATTGAATACGTGTATTATAAGACTATTATAAGAACCGAATAATTATAGCCTATATTTAATTGAAATTTATATTTTTATTTGCTTTATGAATTACATCAGCTTCCATTTCTTTGTTATACCTATTTCTTGTTAAATTAATCAGCATTTCGCCTAAATAATCATTATATTACGAAAATGTACAATAATTTTTTTGTTTATTTTCAGGCAACAGGTTGCCAAAGTGGTCCTACAAGAACTTCGAACATGTCCAGAAAAATTGGCGCCAGATCTTCCAGAAATAATGAAAATTCTAGGTCAAATGAGCGATGGTGAGTTGTTTGATTTTGACTAATTATTTCCTTAAGAATTTTCCTGATCGCATAAATTTTGATTTGTGTAGATATTAAAAAAATACACTATAATATTCAACAAAGCTTTCGTTAAAGTGCTTTTATTATATCGTTTATTCGACTTCTGTGGGATTTTTTAAGAAACTTAAAGCTCCGATACATACCATGAAGCTTTCGGGCACGCCACTGCGAAAGAATTTAAGTACATCCCGTTTTATTTTTCGTCTGACCGTCGAATCCCGATTAGAACGGTCGCTCGACGATTTTTTTTTCCGATCATATTCGCTTTCTCAGATCAAGAGTCAGGTCAGGGAATGGATTTGACGTGCGATGTCTGACCCACCCCGTCGCTTTCAATTCCGGCACACAATGCTCTCGGAACGTTTTTCAAGGTTAACGGCACAAAAAAAATTATGTCGAAGCACAAAATTTCGATATTGTTTCGTTCGAAAGGGAGTTTTCGAGTTTCCAAACGGATTCGGCGAAATCAATTTTTGGGACAATTGTTTGCGGAGTTTGGTGGTTGTTGGTTACTTTAGGTTAGGTATAACCGTTTACTGGGTGGTCTTCTAAATTTTCGAATTTTTCGGGGGTTAGAGAATGCGTTACAAGCGGGTGATTTCTAATTATATACTTTCCTAAATTGTAAAATGTGAATTCTGTATAAGGAAACAATTCCTTCTTCTATATGGTTTTAAAATATATTACTTTGAATGCAACTTGATGGGGGTGAATCAGGATTTGCTTTTACTCAATATTTTACTTGGTTTAGTTGTGAAGTCATCATTTTTGAAATATCATGTATGTAAACATAGGCATATAAGGGTAAAAGAAATAGGTGTATTGAATACGAAAATTACTGGATTAGTTTAAAAACTTTGACCGAATGACTATACAACAGTCAAAACGAAATTCGATTTCATTTCCATTCTAATAAACTCGATCAATTTTCATCGTTTCTAATTGCATAGGAAGGGACCCGGGAAATTTACATGCCTTAGGCGATCCAATTAATGCGTTGATGAATGAAAGTAATTATTATTCTCGCTTCTCTCTCGCCTCTCTCTATACATACTATACCGTTAATTACACGTACTATTATACGCGTCCCGCTTATCGAACCTATACAGGTTTTACTAATAATCGGCGTCGCGCGATTTTTCCCCGTCATCCCCTAAACGCACGCCGTTGCTTCGTGAAAACGCCTTCGCCCGGTTCGCCGTCATCTTCGCGGCCGCTTGTTGTAAATGTCGTTCTATTCTGGGGCGCGTTGAACTTGAGCCGCCGCGTTTCCGGTACAGAGAGGCAGGCAGGCAGGAAGTAGCGCACGTGGATGTGTGTATACGTCGCGGGGCCCCCACGGCTCCCCCGTCCGCCCGCTCCCCCCCTTCGCTCGCCTATGTGTCGCGATACGCCGGCGAAAAGCGACGCAACGCCCGGCACTATTTACGTCCGAGTGCCGGATAAATTTAAACGCAGACACCCCAATAATTCTTGTTCCTTTCGGAAAAGGTGGGTCGCGGAGGAATGCGTGAAATACCCCACCGAGGGAACGCTTTTTTTTTGTATACGGGACGATTCAACTTGTATATACAGCGCCCTAAAGGATACTATTCCATATGAGTTTAAATTCAATCTAATACTTTGATTTCAAGCTGTTATATGAGGGTTGTTAATAAACATTTATGTATAGAAATGTAGAGATGTAGGGATATATTGATGAAAATTGTTGGTGAATCCCTCTGTAGATAATAATATAGGCGTTGACAAGTTAAATGGAGAAAACATGCGTGATGCCTCGGCATCTGCGCTACTCCGCTTAGACCCCCAATGAAGCAAGAAATCATTGCGCTTAGGAAGATGATGTGTCATTGCACCCGTCTTAAATAAAGCGCCGCTGCGCTTATCGAGTACGATATACTCTGGGCGTATAAACTACAAGACTCTTTGGAGTTGTCTTGTGCCGTCGAAAAATTCGATATTTCATTGGAGTAATCGTAAATAATTTTTTTTTCAAAGACGTATCTGGTTTTATTGGTTAAATATTTGGGATGGTAATTTATATATTCATTTACCTTGTGGAAAAATCGTAAAAGGGAATCGTACTTTTGTATACTGTAAATAATGTAGCATCGACGTCAAAGCGAATTGTTCCAGTTAAAAATTAATTGATTTATTAACCACCACTGATTAAAAGTTCAAATGAAATATTTAAATGCAAACAGATTGTTTATTATGGAGGAAGTTTCGAACATTTTTTCTAGTCATATTAAATTTAATATAAACCAAGTATTTCTGAAAACGAATGGTTCTGGTACTGGGCAATAGATCAATATGTCAATCAAAAAAAGTAATATTAATCCCCAACCCTTCATTTTCACCCTTAATTCTTCTTAAATTAGTAATATCTTTTAAACATTTCTATATGCTTTATCAGGCGCATTATTTATTCAATAAAATAAAGCTCTTAAACTTATTGCAAAGTCGTATTGATCATATTGTTTTAAATGGTGGATCCATATACACCATTATTGACCTTCGAATACCATGAACTTAAAATTTTTAAAAAAATGTTGCCTTGAAAAGAATGCTAACGGAAATTACAATCGGCTACTTCACTGATTCTCGTTTAGGAAAACGAATTACTCATTCTAAATTGGACGAAAATTAGATTGTGAGTAAGTCGACTCATGTGGAAATACTATGCGATCGTTTTTTTCCTGGAAATCACTATAATAGACCAGATTCTAATCAATAACAATTACAACGTTGACTATAATACAAACGGAAAAATAATCTGATTATGGGAAAAATAAGTTGTGTATTTTAGCTTTAATCGAATTATGGAATGTTGATGTTTAAACAGGTGTGAAGGATCCATTCATTCGAGTATGTGTACTACCTATTATTTAATGAGTGACTAATTGTCGATTTCGTGAATTTTTTATTGCCAATTTCTGATTATTCAATGCACAGCCAACTTTTAATAAACATAGTTTCGACAATAATGATGTGATTTTTCTCTTGATGAAATTTCTTTAGTTGTTGGTATAATATGAATGAAGTAGATATATTATTTGAAACATTTCATTTCGTGAATATTGTTGTTTTATTATTTTATTATACTATAGTTTATTTTAAAATTTTTCGAATTTGTTTAGGTAAAAATTCTTTTTCTTACGTTTTATGATTTGTCATTTATACAGGGATTGATTAAGTCACCTGTCACCTGTCAAATTGAAGAAAAAAATACTTTTTCGTTCAAAATTTTTTTAACGGATGTATCGAAAAGAAATTCGATAAACCAAGAAACGATTGCCGAAATATCGATAAGCGGGTGTTGTACCTGCAAGAGCGAGCGAAACGGAGCGATTCTCATTCGCTAACGATAAGGAATTCCAACCGACATGGATTCGAATCGAATGCCGGAGATAAATAAAAAAAAAATTTTCGGTAGGTGTACGCAAGGCAACGCACACGAATTTAAACGAAAAAACGAAACGCAAAATGTAGTGTAATATCGTAGGACGCTCCAGACATTGGGCGGTGCTGCGCGAAGTTGAATGAAATAAGGTGAAACGGTGTGACAAGCGCGTACTACAAGAGCGTTCAACGATCTCTACTTGCCGCCGCGATCGCAGCGCCTCGCAGCGGCGATGCCATCAAGTAGGCGTGTGCTCGAATCGGCATGGACGTGAGAACGCTTCGCGTACGCGTTTGTGATATTCCGACGAATTTTTCGGGAAAAAATCGACGCGCTTTTCACCTAACCATCGAAAAACGATAGAGGATCTTTGTGGGTAAGTCGTGAGCGGTTTTTCCGCGCGAAACCCCTCGTAGTTTGGTCGTGTTTGTGCGAAGCGTTTCCGGTTAACCTGCAAGAATATTTTGGGCTCGAATCAAAATGGAGGCAAACCGCGTGCTTTTAGGTTTGCCGCTTTTTTCCCATCGGCTACTGTTTACCGGGGTTGTCGGCTGGATCGGCTCGCATTTTCTACAGTTTGCGCCGATTGTTTGTGAAACGTTGTCGCCGGAATTTCGTCGAGTTTTATTAATGTTGTTTTTATTTTCTCGTTCTAGAACCGATCTTGAGGAGCGAATTGCTAGAGGAAATACCGCACATCGCCGCCGAAGCCATCCAATGTTCGAATGGAGATGGTGCTTTTAAGAATGTCGTGAGCGATTATCTCATTCCGCTGGTCGTTAGGAGCTTAGGGTGCACAGATAATACGCTAATTGCTCATTCGACTCTTATTAATTTAATCAAACAAGGTTTTATCACTAAACTACAAGCCGAAATACAAGTATGTCCCGCTATTTTGGCGCTCACCAAGCTGGAATCTACCACAGCCAAGGATGTAAACAAGGCTGCTATCAATGTAAGTACCTAAATGAAAAAAAATGTTTTTTTTTCATAAACAAATTAATCATTTTGTCTTAAAAAATATTCTCTAAATTAAATATTCTTACTCGACTATTAACTGGTGAAAAAGAAATTATATCACAACGTGAGCCTTTGGAATGTTTAATTGAGCGTATGTAAACAATACAAGAAATGCAAAGGGTAAAAGAATTTATTGGAAGTACCTAATTGAAAATCAGTGGAGCGTATTTGAATTCAAATTGTAAACCTGTACATTCCTATAAACAAGATATTACAAAACAACATGTTTTTATTTAAGTGCATTGTATGCAACCATCTTTACAAATTAGTGCAATTCCCTATCTAAGCGTATTTATGTCGAATCGATACATAAAATTAGTACTGTAATTTATTGTGGGTGCTGGCTTTGTGAAAGACATGGGTAGTGAGATGTTCGCATATTTTTTTTGTCTCACTACCTTGTCTTTCATGAAGACGATGCCGTCTCTGTTTTATATTTGTGTTTTTGCGTCGAGATTTTCCGAATTTGCCGTTGCTCATCAGAGTTGGTAGTTTTAGATTGTTCGTTTCTATCACAGCCAGCTTTGATGAGCACCGTTTGATTCTCGTTCGACCGCCTGAAGAACCATTTTTTGCAAGGAGATGCTGGTCGTTTACTTTTACCTACTCATCAACTTGGTTGTGACTTCTGGGCTTTCTGAGAGATATCACAGCCACTTTGATGAGCTAGGTGAAGGTGTTTACCGTCTTTGGAAGAGGAGCGGAGCGGAATTGTCGCGTGTCGTAGCCAGTCAACTTGGCTGTGAAGCCTTTATCTAATGGTATCACAGCCATTTTGACGAGTTTCGATATCGACGCCTGCAACAGATGTACTGGAACCTAACGGAAAGTTTTTTTTTGCTAAAATGAATAATTTATTGTATATTTATGATAAGATTTATGATTGTTTACTCAAATAAACCGTTTAACCTAACGTTTTCACTAAAAGTCTTACAGTTATGAAATTACTACTTATTGAATTTTGTAACTATCTTGTATCTTTAACTGGTTTCATTAGCCTGTCATTTTGACGTGACAGAATTTGAGATGCCGTGCCGCTCATCAGGTGGTTGTGAAGCGGATATTCAACTCGTATCACAGCCAGCTTTGATGAGCGATGCAACATTTTTTCCGACATCGTAAAGGGCGAGGCCGGCCCTGCGACGTTCCCTTTCCCTCCTTGGGTACATTTTTTTGCCGGAACATACTGACGTCTACTGTATGCTTTCCCTCATCAAGTGGATGTGAAATGTCTTTTTTGATTCCATATCACAGCCAGCTTTGATGAGCGTAAGAGTGCATTAATTCCATCGAGTCGTAAAAATATGATTTAATGTTGTTGGTTGGAAATAAAGTTTATTTGTATGTTTGTTGTTTTATTTTTGTTTGAGAATGTGTTGTATAGTAATTTTAGGGGATTGGAAAATGAATTAATCCTTTGAAAAAATGTTGAATATTGTAGTCCTGTAATTTGAGAGAATATAGAGTTTTGCGAGAATTCGAAATAACGTTGACGGGTCGATTTAAAATAATCGAAAATAATTGCGTTCTCTGAGAGAGATCATCTGGCGCACGTTGTATAGATAAATTATATTTTTCCTGCTATGAATATATCCTCTTTTGCAGCTAATGAGCAAATTAGCTCCATTACTTGGCCGGGATGTAACAGAACGCGTGTTCCTCGGAAGGTTCATAGAACTGTGTTCAAGTCCAACGTTTCATATACGGAAAATATGCGCCGCACATTTTGGATATTTCGCCGCCGTCGTCAGCAAGGAAGTCGTCGAAAAAATTTTGGTTAGTATTCTCTTTTATTAACGAGCGTTTCAACGAACCACATCAACTCGTAAATCTCGATGGAAGTTTAAAAAAAGCGTAGATACTAATTATTTTTTTTGTGCTTGATACACAGGTACCTGAATACCTGACATTATGCACGGATACTAGAGATGTACGTAAAGCCTGCGCTGACGTGATAACGTATCTGTCGTGCACTTGCAGCAGGGCGTCGAAGGTGGAGAAATTGGCGCCGGTGTTCGGGTCCCTTTTGCAGGACGAATGCCAATGGGTCAGGGCGTCCGCTTTTAGATCATTAGGGTTTTTCATTTCGACCTTTGCCGAGCCGCCCATTACCGAATTAGATTTCAGTTCGAACGACGAATTGGTTTTGGTGTGCGCGAACGGCGTGGAATACATGTAAGTTGTTGATTGGGAATTGGCGAATCGGTACGACTCGAGATTTTTTTTTTTCAGGATATCTTCATTGTCGGTAACTTCAATACCGTTATTCGATACCGGTAAAGACGACGGAAACTTTATGATGAATTCGTTGATATTCGAGTTTAAAGAGAACGATTCACTGCCTTGTTTGAGTCCAAGCGACATATTCAAAACGGATAACGATGTAGTAGATGTAAATTTTAATGGAGAAAATAAACTTGAACAATTAGATAATGTAAAAATCGATAGTGCTATAGATAAACTAATAGGAAAAAGTAATGAAGAACCGAGCGTGATATTTCATAACTCCAAATGTGATAATACTAGTGAAATCGTAAACAATGAATTAAAAGATGGAATGCAAAATATTAAATTAATTGTAGATAACAAAGGAAATAGTACAAATAACGAAATTAGTCAATTGGTATCGAATAATAGCGACGGAGACCATCAAAATACAAAAGACTCGAACGACAACGAGAATAAGGTAAATAACATGAATAATAATGCGTGTGATACGTTAGAGGATGACTTGCGTTTATTTTACTCACACAATTACTGGTACATTAGTCCTGATATGCCTTTAGATCCGAATCTAGTTGCCGGCGATGCTTATTCAACAAATCATTCAAGAAATGTAAGTATCATTTTGATTATCTAATTTATCAGAATTCATACAAAAAAGGCTCGACAATGCTAATGTTCCTATAACATATATTTAGTTTGTTTCATAACAGCTTAATAGAATAATTCAAATCGAATCATTACATACACATTGTCCGGCTTTTTATTATTAAAATACGAGTAGTATTTAAAAAATATAGATGCTTATTTTTCACCACCATTTGGCTATTCATTGATGTAGCTTATTACCTTTTTTGTCACCGTAAGTACTTCGTGTTTTTATTTATTTAAGTTAAGAGCTGTACGTGAAGCTTGTGTTTTTTATGCGTTTTTGACTGTTTTTTAAGAGATCAAGCTGTTATAGTTTCATTATATTTACTTTATTTTTTAACGTGATTCTTATTAACTTTTCGTCTTATGCGATGTCATTCTAGTCGAATTTTTGAGATATACAGAATTTTATTAAACAAATCCTTTTAATTTGCATATTTTAGGATACATTTTAGCAGTAGATGCGAAATTATTAATGAGACTTATTCCGTGTTAAATAAATTGTATTTTATTTGTTTCAGTCTACCATAGAAGAAAAATCAGAAAACAAATCAAATAATTCAACAACTATAACAGTTAGCGAAAATGACGTTACATCAACATCAGACGACAGTAATTTAATCCTGCAATACCGTTGAACGTTCAATACTAAAATAATATTATTTTTAGGCGTTATTGTTAACAATATTTCTGTGAATACAGAACCCGATCAAACGATAGTTCCTCAAATACTGATAGACAGCTTCGTTTCCATGACATACTCGAGCAACACTTTGAACATCGAACACGAAATGATCTACCATTGCGCCTACTACATGCCCGCCGTCGTGATGACTCTGGGCAGGGAGCATTGGAATCTGTTGGAGAATACCGTGTTCGCTCTAGCCGGAGATGTGCAATATAAAGTGAGAAGAATAGTGGCGAGCAGCCTGCACGAATTGGCCACCATACTAGGTCCTGAGTTAGCTACCAACAGTTTAACGATACTATTCGAAGGATTCCTCAAGGACCTCGACGAAGTGCGGATAGGCGTTCTTAAAAATTTAACGTCCTTTTTAGAAGTGATCCATCCGTGTAAAAGGAACACTTACTTGCCCAGGTTAAGCGCTAATAAAATCACGAATTTGTTCGAAACTAACGAGATACTATTTTTAGATTAATAGGATTCCTGCAAACAGATAACGAGTGGAATTGGAGATTTAGAGAGGAACTGGCCGTTCAATTATTGGAAGCAATAGAGCTGTTTAAACCTTCGGATGTTGCCAAGCATTTCGGCATTATCGCCTTACAGTTACTATATGATAAAGTAGCTGCAGTACGAACGGTTGCTGTAAATTTGGTTAGTATTACATAAAAAATAAAAAAAAATCAATTTCTCATTGTATTAATAATTATAGGTGACGGAAATAGTGACTTACATCTCATCGGAACCGAATTTAACGTGTAGCCTGTTGAGGAAATTAGTCGAAGGTTTGGCCCATTCGAAAAATTGGAAGCGCCGTCAGACGTTTTGTTTGTTATGTACAGAATTGTTGAAAGAAGATGCCTTAGATCCTGAACAATTTACGTGCGAAGTTATGCCGCATCTGTTAGATTTGAGTTGGGATCCCGTAGCTAATGTTAGATTAGTCGTGGCCAGATGCATATCTAATCTAATATTCGGCGAATATTCAGGTTTGTTTTGTAAATAGTGTTGTTTCTTTAATGGATTTTGATTGGTACTTTTTTAACAGATTACTTTGCTAATTCATCCAATGAAAATTACAATGGGCTGGAAAATGTTCTAAGAAGACTGCAGGCTGATAAAGATAATGATGTTCGTCAGTCGGCGGAGAGGAAATTTTGATGAAAAGTTTGTATATGGGCCAAAAACACCGAATGGGGTTTCTACTTAATTTTAGAAAGACTTGAAATTATTTTGTTTAATTATCAAAAAAATACATTAGGTCTAAAATCGTTTTAAGTATCTACAATTGATGTACATGCAAATTTTTAACTTATCTATTAAGTGTAGATTTTTACAGAAAAAAAAATAAATTTCCAATTAATTCCCAAAGTAATCGTATCTAGAAATGAAAAAATTGTATGTATGTGTGTTTGATGATTTTTCGAAATTATTGCCAGTTTTTTATTCATTTGCAAAATGAATGATTTATGTGATTCCCCGTTAAATACTTTTTTCCAATTATAAATATTTATTCAGGTTAATTTGTGTATTTTGTTGTACTTTTTTATCATGATTTTGTGTATATGTAAGCATTTTGAAAAATATAATTGTTTCAATTATGTAAAATTATTGTTCGGTTGCAGGAACATCAAAAATGATTATTAGGGTAACTAGTAATAGTACAGAGATATGTTTCGAGTAATTTTTATTTTAATAATCCTCTGTAACTGTCATAAGAAGTCATGTATTAATTTTGATGTATTTTTCAACAATCGTACAAAAATGTTTTAATTTTCTGTATTAACAAATTCGAATAATTGACCGATCCCAGCATATCCTTATACCCTGCTAATAATGTACAAAATTGCGAACATTAAGGTTCATATTGTTGACCAAAAATTTATTTTCTACATCTTCAACATTTTGATACGGTTTCTTAAAAAATAAATAACAATTTATTGGGACATTAAGTACTATAGGCTATAAGACTAGAGCTAAGACACTTATCACTTGCAATATATACAGAAATTATGAACACATTTAGTTTAATCGCGAGGTTACCATCATTCATTTCGTAGGTACGCTGGATATGAGCTCCCTTCGCTTGTAAACGGGCCCGCTCTGCGAGCTGGTGGACTTTTCCTCGCGCTTGATCTCCGTAGCGGCCGTTTCCAGCGCCTCGGAATCGGGAATATGTCGCGTTTGATGCCTCGAATCGGTGTACCTCCGCTTCGTGTACTTCTTTTTCTCCCTTTCCACCGTCGAACTTTTGCTCTTGGCGTTCTCGGACTTCATCATCTTCTCGAAATCCGCCGTTTTCGATCGCAGCACCGCGTTGCCGATGCTGGTTATGCTCGGAGTGAACCGCGGCTCCCTCTCCGGTTCCTTGTGCCTGTTCGTAGACAACTCCCTTTGGTACACTTTGGACGGATCTTTGATCTGTTGAATCTCTTGCGTCGAAGAGAAGGAGACCTTTTGCAAACTGGGCACCGCCTCTCGAACTATGTTGCTTTTTAGTACCTTACCGACGCCTTTAGGGTTGTTGGCGTCGTCGGGTATGTAATTTACCGATGTTTTCGTGCTATCGGGAGACGTGGGCGGGCTGGAGGCCCACGACGGCGGCGAGCTGTACACCCCCGCGTCGGCGATGCTGCTCGACACCGACGTCGAGGTGTTTTGAATGGGGCTCGAGTGCGTCGTGGCCGACGAACCTACGGCGGAATCGTAACCCGGCACCACCGAGATGGATCCGATCACCGGTTGCATGTTGGACGTGACCGAGGAGTCGCTGTCCAGCGAGTGGTTTCTCCTTCTAGGCGGAGCCGTTGGTATGCGCACCAACCCCACGGTCATCTGCTGACGCCCGCCGTCGCCGTCTTCGATGTAAGGAATGTCGTCGTCTACATTGTAGGAGAGAGATTGGTTTTGGGCGTGCACCGGTATGGTCAAACTGGCCGTTATGACGCCGCTGTTGTCCAAAACGTACGGCGAGGATTTCCTGCGCTCGAACAGCTCGTCCGAGCTTTTGACGGCTCTGGCGAAGTCGTCGGTGTGCGTTGAACTGGTGGATTCTATCGACGACGAACGGTTCTTGCTGTAGTTGTAATCGTCGTCTTTTTGGCCTCGCAGTCTCGAGATTATGGTAAAAGCTGATGATGTTAGGCTACCCTCTTTGCTCTCGTCGGCTTTTTCTCGTCGACGCCGGTAGCTTTTTTCTCTAATTCGATCTTTATGTCTGAAGAAAAAACGATCATTCAATGTTAAATTGATAATATCAGTTAATTTAGTTTACCTAATTCGCATTCCAACGTTAGGACCACCAGTAGCAGCTGCTTCGTGAAGACATTCTTCTCTAGAATAAGTCTTTTTCTGTTCAGTCGCCAGTTTGCTATCGAATATACTGTCCAAAGGAGGATCGTGCGATAGAGTCGTCGGCGTCCACGGAGCGGAATTGCTTTCGCTATCTAACTCATCCACAGATCTGCAATGCATTTACAATATAAATTACATTCGAATAGATTATTCCAATCTAACTTACTCATCAGCTGCGATGCTGCCGTCTTTCTTGTTAAGCAAAGTTTCCAATTCCTCCGGATGAGAGTCCATCATGTGAATGTAAACCTCGTCTAATAGCTCCGCAGATACTGCGAATATATTCTTGTAATGATCGATGAGGGTCCTCACGACGTTGATGATGTCTATGCGATCCTCCGGCTTGTCGGCGTTATCCTTGGCGCCCGGTTTTACGCAGTGTAAAATATTGGGCGCAAAGACCGTAGCCAAATTGTTCGAGTCCATTTTGTTGCCGGTGAGCGACTCTCCCGCCTCGCTTTTACCGTCCTCGGCGAATTTCGCGACGATCGCGAGGAAGCTCAGCAGCGCGTGAAGAGTGTCCCTGTTCGTCGAAGGAAGCAACTGGACTAGATGTTGAATCGCCTCGAATTGCAGTCTTCTATTTCGTATCCCTGCAAACGACACTACTAGAAATACGTTCGAAAGAAATCACCAGCGACGCGTACTTTGTGTTTGAACGAAGGCCTGGTACAAGTCCCTGCAAAGCAACGGATCCGGTAGGTCTCTGAGATACTCCTTTAGCAACGTAGCCACGTCGTGCGGGCATTGCTCGTTCTCCAACGTGGTCTCCTTGCCGCAATCGAAATCCTCGCGCAGCTGTCGTATTCGCTTCTTCGAGGTGCTCACTCTGAACAAGCCCAGCGTGTGCAGCCCGTTCTGCTCCAGGTGCCTGAAGCACTCCGTCAGGATGTTCGGAACGGCCGGCTCCTCTTCCATCGTCGCCGCCGGCAAATCGACGTTCGAACTGCAGGATAGCGAGTCCAACAGCCCCGGGACGCTGCCCACCATCCTCTTGTGCAAGGTCAAATCCTCGCAAGAGCCTTTCTGCAAATCGAATTACATGTTCTCACACCGAAACTCTAGGTACGTATCAAAAAATTTATTGGTTAAATTTGAATTAACATGTAGGTAGTAAAGAATTTACAGCCCCTTGAACATTTTAACATCCTCTTAACATTTTACATCCTCAATTTATTTAAAATTTGATATCTTGTGAATTTTTGATATTTCCTTGATGAGCTCATTTCATTGATAAAACAAATTATGGGTAGTAAAGAAACTACATCCACTTGAAAACCACATTTTTCATTAAAATTTCCTCTTATCTCCCACATTTTACAATCCGATTATTTGTCTATTTAAAGAAATATTTGATAGTTAAAGAGATGTCGTTTGGCGCCTCTTATAAATAAACCTTACTAACACAATGCAGGTCGTTTAAAATTAATTTAATCGGATTTATTTGTTCGCCAACGGCGTAAACTAACAACTAACCTGTTCGAAGGTTCTCCTCGCGAAAAAAAAATCCCGCCGGGATATTTATTTAATCTTCCAAATGCATAATCTACAATTTCGCTAATGGGTTTTCCTGGGATCGTAGCAGTGACATAGAACAGGTGTACATTTCGCATAGTAAAGGCGACACAGAATAAATAGACACGGCGCTAAAATTAGCGCGGCCGTTTTTAATTGTGTACCAATTTCGAATCCGACGGGAAAATAGCCGTTTATGAATTTGACAATAATTTTAGCGCTGCTGAAAATTCCGAAATGCGCATAAACCTTAATCCGAAAGCTTATCGCTAGTATCTAATATCTCGCTCGGGTTTATGGTGTGTATCAACGTCACTACGTGTACTATATTGCGTCATTATGTTGACGTCAAACCGAATTTGGAGGCGTTGCACGCTTGATTTCGAAGCCGCCACGTGACTTATTAAAAAAATATGCTCCCGTGCGACATTCTCCTAATATACGATGTATCCTAATATACGAATACGATGCGCTGTCGTGTTTAATTTTCCCAAGCCTCTCGCACGAAAATAGGGCCCCGTCTTATTAATTTTTTTCCCACTCCCGGCTCGTCTGATGTAAATTCTTTTCGCGAGCGCTTTTTTAAACTCTCGCTTCGTACAAATATTTATTTTTTATGTTGATCCGATTATGAGTGATTTAGACCATGCGGCAGAAGCGTAATAAATCGAGAAGGCCCAAAGTCGGATTTTTGGCATTGATAAATGCGCTGGTGTTAAATAACAAAGTGCGTTTTTCGATTTCGATTAATCTCCATGGGGATTGTAACACTCCAATTCGATTATAGACAATCATTATGTTTTGAAATCAATCCCTTTAGATCCTCCAAAAAATTGTCTATGGACAAAATGAGTCCAGGATTTTCCCTTTGAGGAACCTCAACTAAACAAGTAAAAAAGTACTTCTAAATGATTACAATTATCCACTAAATCTTTACTGAAAAAATAAAATTGATTTCTTTTTAAATATTTTTAAATCGTCGCGACGCACAAACACCAAACAGGAAATAGACCGTTTCTTTAGGCTGTTACATCGAGCATTATCATCGACCATTGTAAAATTGACCTTCGCTTTACTATTTTTATGCCGCTTTTACAAACTTGGCCACCACTCGCACGTTCGAAATATGTTTCATTTTTATTTTCGTAGAAATTCCCCGAATATTTTCACACCTGAAAGCCCGGCTAATTATTTTCTACGATACCTACACGATATAAATCTAATTACCTACCAAAATCTAATCTATTCTAAGCCTGTGTGTATTTCTATACCCATACTAATGTGGAGATTTTGGTACTAGGAGTTTATTCTTTGAGGAAATTAACTTGTGATTCTTAAAAATTCATCTCATAAATTGCATGAACTATTAACTATTTTTTCTAAGTGCATGCATAGACATAATGAAATTACCTCATCTCCTCTTGGGGCATCGATCAGCGAGCTGAAGCTCGAACGGGATCCGTGCCGGCCGATTTTGGTGGGTTCATCTCCGGAACCGGAAAGTTCTCCTCTGCTGCGAAAAGGACTCGTTCCTGCGGCAGCTCTCGTTAACCTGTCGTTCTCCACGCATTGGGCCAGGGAAATCCCGAACACCAGCCCGCCCGGAAGACCGCTATTCTCTGCAAAAAAATACAGATGCAAATGTAAATTTCATAAATAAAGAGTTATTGGAGATGTATGAGAAACGGAAGTCCCCATCAAAGCTCTAACGATGCATATTGATAAGAAATTTTAACTTTTTAGCAGTCTTTAAGGCTCGTTAGAGATTCTAAGATTCGTATATGAATTTATTTTAGTCGTGTGTATTAATAAATTGGTCTACTAAAGCGAGGAATGTGCGAGATATTATCGCAGAAGCAATTGATTTACAATCGGCAGGGTATTTAGTTTCACTCGGTAGCTTTTCTACACGAGCACTTCGCAGTCAATAAAGAACCTCGACCATTAAACGGCGACCGCGAAAAAATCCCGAGGAATTTGGCGCTGGCAACTATTATATTTTCGCGCAAAACGGCTGCGACTCGCCTTAAATTTCTATTATTCTTTCGCGTGTTTTTGCGGTGCGCGGCGCCGCTCGAACCGTTCTAAATCAAAATTTTGTTTTGTTTCAAGTGCTCGCCAAATCGCTTCGGAATCTCGGCTCTTTCGCCAGATTATTGTTGATTGTTCTGGCGATTTTTGTATGGAAAATAAGCTTCTTTTGAAACAGGAAGAATCGATTAAGGAATTGATGAGTTAGATTCTAAGAATGTTTAGAAATACTTAGAAAACTCTTTTAAGAATATAGCCAATAAACAAGTAGATAAATGAAGTTCAGCAAAGTAGATTAGAAGAAATAATAAACCTAACAATAATTTGTTAAAAAAATGCTTAAAATTTTACAGGGTGCTAGGATATTGCAATTATTCTCCCGAATAGCAGTACACGGATAAAACTTGCCAGGTTTTGTAAATAATATCCGAGTTACTGGCAAAAATCAATTTTCAGTTAGCAACTTTGATAAACTTGGAATTTTTAAAAATAGCGTCTATAATCGATTTGTGCAGACAGGTTTTGGACTGCAAATCGTTATCTGATTGGAATATTTTTTTAACCGCTGTTCAGGATGATTCATACCGTGGTAATTAGGCCATTTTCCTCGTTTTCGGTACACTGAAGTTCCCAAAGCGGTGTAATTAACCTCGAAATAGTGCGTCTCCCAATAAATTGTGTAAGTATTTCTAAAATTTCGCGGGGCGGTTATTTTTAGTTTGTATAACTGCAAAGGAAGGTCGATACGGAATTTTTTTATGTTTATTATAGGTAATCAAACAGTTTAGTAGTTGCAATTTATATCTTTCAAAATTAATTGCTTCGGTATTTTTTATTACCTATACTACACGTTCGTGAGCTATAGCATTACCTGCAGTAATAGAAAATATGTAGGTAGATAGTACAGCAGTTATACAGGGTGTTCTCGAACCCTAAATTCTAGGGGTGGTAGTTTGCATAATTTGAGACCAATTCGCAGATTTCATTTTTCTAAAAAATAGAGCCATTAGAAATAAATGCAAAGAGCGAATACAACCCTGGTCTGAATAGATCGAAATTTTAACTCAAAAAAAAAAGATTCAGTGTATTTTATCAGCAAGCGCAAATTTCCCCCTCCGCCGTCCAGCTTTAGAAAAACGTTATCGATGTAGGACGAATTGTATTGTTTTGCTTATAACATCGGGGTTAAATAGATTTTTGTGATTAGACTTTAGTGATTTATTTAATTGTTTTAGTTCTTATTGTTCTTAGATTAGTTAATTCTTGTTCGTTATAGTGATGTTCTGAAATAATTAAGCAGCTTTCAACAACAAAATAGGTGAGCTAATATTCCTTTTGAGTTTAAAGTTTATTTTCGTCTATCGTTTGAAAAACCCGGTTTACTTTTATAATTTACCCATGATTCTAATCATTTAAAGACCATATGGAATAAAATAAGTATTAAACAAATTCAAATAAAATATTATTAATTTATAAATCATTATTTTGTCGATTTTAACCGATTTTAACGCGATCTATCGCGAGTTTCAACCGATGTACAGGACCGCATTTCTTTGAAATATTTTTAATATTTCAATTTTTGATTATAAATTTTTTAGAAAAATGAAATCTGCGAATCGGTCTCAAATTATGCAAACTACCACCCCTAGAATTTAGTGCCATAAGTTCGAGAACAACCTGTATTGACAGCAGTAAATTTGCATTGTTGAATGGTCTGATTTTAAATTAGGCATGATTTTATTGACACTCAAAAATTGTAGGTGAATTTATTGAATTTACCTTTATTCTTGTCGTCTTCTTTTCTGTTAGCATCGAAGATGCCAGTAGTGAGGGCTTTTCTCTTCAATAAATAAGGTCTTCTCTTCGGTTTTGCAGTCACACCACCTACATTGTCTGAAAATAAAAATTTGTTTCTATATTTCTAATATGTAAATTGCGTATGCGATAAAGTAAATTAAATTTAAACGTTGGATGTGAATTGTATTGCAAAATTCGCAAAAGCGAGTGCGGGAGAGTGTATGAAATTTTATATGAATTTTAAAGAGGTTTTTATGTTCATACGCAAGACTAAACCAGCGTCAACGTGCTACGATTTACAACCGATTAAAAATAACAGTGTTTATTTGATTTCTTACTATTTCTAATTCAATTGTTATTTTAAGCGCCACTCGACTATTTTTCTGATAGGCATGCCTTTCATTTTTACGCGTCGGCGTCTCTCAATCGATAAGCAAATTAATTAATCACCGCTTTATTGGAAGCCATAACAATCATTATTTCTACATGGACGTCATAAAATGTTTCAAATTATTTTTTAACTAAAAAAAGTTTACGAAAACATTCCGTTAGCTTTGAACTGCATGATATTGGAAATATTTTATGAACTAAAAATCGCGTTATAACGAATTTAAAAAGGTTTCTTACCACTTGGAACTTTGATGTTAACGCCGAGATTCAACGCCTGCAATTTCGCTATAGCAACTTTCTGCAACACTTTCCTTTCTATTTCAGTCAAATTAAGTAAGGACGTATCGTTTAATATCACCTGTCTCCCCGTTATGTTGCTCCACACGCAGCTGCCCTGGAAATGATAAATTTTTGAAAAATTTCATAATCGCCGTAAAAATCGAATCGATTAATTTCGTTTGGACGGCCTTATTTATTGTGTTGTTTTGAAAAATGAAAGATCCGAAATCGTTAAGTCGGTTAAGTGGATATATCTGCGGAAATTTATATTTTTATGTTTCACAATTTTAGTGAATTAAAGTGGCAAATCGAGATTGAAGATTTGTTAACTGTGACTTATGCTAAGATTTTAACTCCAATAAATTATCTTTTGATTTTATAAACGAAAATATTTTTTGTGTAAAACAGATGTATTTGTCGGTAGTTTAATTGTTATTGGTGTAAGTAATTACAAATTTTCCATTTGAAAACAATTACACCAGACATTCAATTCGATTATCTCCTATTTATTTGTTTATATCTACATTTTGCGGAAAATAAAAAGGAATGTTCATGAATGGAAAGTGCATTCAAACAATAAAGTATCCCACCTCAACTAAACTTAGAAACTTTAATTTCTGTTTATTAGTTCTACAAGCATTAATGAAATTTGTTATGAGAATTCAATAGTTCCGTAGGAAGATTTTAAAGTTATGCTTTCCCAACAGGTTTACTTAACGCCTGATTCTATTTACTCTAAACCCGCAAATACAACTTAAATGATATCGGCATCGATTTTAGATAACATTGTGTAGGAACCGTTTATTTCTGGTACTGCTGTACCTACTGATTACTCAAAATTTATTAAGTTTTAAATCGGGCGAAATCTTTTCGTGGTCCGCGAAACTAAATTATAAGAAAATCGGATTCAAAATAAACAAGTCGACGAAAATAAACCGCAAATTGAACGGAGCTAATGCGAAATTTCGCTATAAAATTTTATTTCGTTCCACAACGATTATATATTATATACTTACGAATCTACTCGCTTTTTTTGGAATATTTTAACAAATATTTTCACTTTAAAGTTTCGAATTGTATGTCGTTTTCTTTAAGGTAGAGCAAAATATTTTGCTAGAGAATTGATATCTGTAGGTACTAATTATGAGTGGGCGAAATGTTAATAGAATATTTTTATACTCATTTTTTTGTAATTGGAATTTTTTAGCAAATTGAAAATAGGAAAAATTTATTTTTAAAACTCAAATACAAATACCCAAAATAAAAAAACAAAAGTACCTGTTGATCCTTTAAGCGAATATCTAAGAGAGTGAATGCTCTTTAAAACCCTTAAATGCAAAAATTAAACAGGAATCCTGGTAACAATTAATAAATTTAAAACGCGAGAGTACAAACAATTACAGGTCACAACGGAGGTAATACCCACTTGATTTGTACCTAACCTAGAGTAAAGTCAATTCGTGGGAAGGAGATTGACCCCTTAGAAATGCTGTGGCGATCTAACTTGTTTATTTTGATCCTCCAAATATAGATAGACATGCCACATTTTTGCTATGAAAATGTTGTTATGTTCAAAAAAATATTATCCACAATCCTAATGTTTTGTTCGCCTAACTTCACATGTGTGCTACATAGTTATATGATCATCTGAGAACTGTGAAGATGAGGAAAATGAGAAAAAATGCAACTTTTTGGGTAGGCTTTATCGCTTTAAACCAACAGTTTTTAGGATAGAATGTAGTTCATGCAGAAAATGCTGGAATATTATTGGTATATTTTTAGTGACTTTAAAAAGTACATTGGTGGAATATTCTCTTATAAACAAACACAATAAATATACTTGTTTGGCCATTTAAGTGGATTGATAAGACTGTGGACCAGAGGTTTTGTTTTATGAAGTTTTATAGCTGGTCCTAAATGATTTTTCCGTGCTGATTACAATAAATCTAAAGTCCATTTTCCAACAGCTCTACTTTTTGAAATAGGGAGTTTACCTGTATCTCAAAAACAAGAGATGCTGTGGCAAAATGAGAATACATATTTGAAAATAGGGACATAAATATAGTAAGAAACAATTCTACAATATGTTCTACAGTAGCAGTGTAATATGTGTTTGTTTAAATGAATAAGTTTAAATGATTTACCTGAGGCGTCCAACTGCATAAATGCGTCGCCCTCGTTTGGCTTTTCGATCTCGATCTGAATATCTTCTTAGCCATAAGCCGGCTACCGTGGTGCATAACGCTCGACGATGACTTGCTCTTCTGCATGGCACCGCCGCCGCCCGAAGACACTGCTGAAGAAGAAGATTTGTCACTTTTATCAGGCTTATCACTCTTTTCATGTTTATCATGTTTGCCGTGCAACAAATGGCTTAGAAACGAATGGCCGCTCTTTGTCGACGGCGGAGAAGACGGCAGGGATTTCGCGCCCTCGTCCGTTACCGCGCCGATATCGATGGAACTCCGTGAACTCGAAAATCTACTTTCAACGTCCGATACGTCGTACAAATCGGCGAATTTCAAATCGCGGTAGATCAACGCCCAATCGTCGTTGGTTTGGCAGCCTTTGTTCAAACCGTCGTCGTCGCCCGGCTTCGTTATCTCACCCTTAGCTTTGATGTTCCGCAAATTTCTATCGTAGTTCACCCGTTTGAATCGATCTACCTTATCTACGTCTACGCTTTTTTTACGCGCCATTCGTAAATACCGTTTGATTGTGTCACTTACTGATTGCGATATATCGTCATTGTCCACGCTACTTCGTCGTCGCAACGATTTGCTTTCTTTCGTCGTCGGCGATTCATCGGCCTTTTCCTCTTGCAATTTCAATTTGTATTCCTCCTCGGCTTTATGCAGGATCGCTTCGGACACCGGTAGCGTTTGCGTGCCCCAATTGTGGTACGTTATTTCCTGCGTGGCGCTTTGGACTTCGATTAACGGTGGCGGGTGGGACGTCGACGGACTGTCTTGCAGCAATCGATTCTTCGATTTCAGTTTATCGTGGTAGTTGGGTGATAAATTATCGTAATACTTCGACGGGTTTTCGTAGTTGCTTCTTTGCGGACCGTAGGCGAAAGACGTTGTGTAACCGGTACCTCCTCGACTACCTCTGAATCCTTTGGTTTTCCTTAACTCAAAGTACAATTTCTCCAAAGCTCTTCTGTCGGTTAGGAGGTCGGAAATTATTTTGTCTCTGTTAGTGGATTGGCTGTAGTATCTGCTTATGGTGTCTAGAAGGCTTCTTTGGGCGTGATCGCCTTCGAAATGGACGTGCTGGGCGTGTTGCGTTGGTAAATGCGAGGTTCTCACGTTGGGTCCTCCGTATATCGTTAAATGCTTCTGCAGTTTATCTACGAGGTCTTGGTAATTGAAATCCGCTTTCGATTTCTCTGCTACGGGGTTGTCTTTACCGAGGGAAAGGTATTTTTCGAGCATGCTGATTAATTGGACGTCTTCGGCGGTTTGTTCGTGTTGCTCAGTAGGTGTCATTTTCTGATCGTAACTGGAGTATCCAGTGGACGCGGTGTTTCCCGTTAGGAATTCTTCTCTCATTCGGCGAACGTCGAATTTTCCGGCGGTGGTGGGTTCGATGTCGAGGTGCATGGGTCTAAGGGGTTTCTCCGGCTTGCCCAAACTGACTTCATCGGCCGATACGGCGTTCCGGCAACTTCCACCTTTACGCGCCACCGGTCTTTTCTTCTTGTTCCTGATGGAGCCGATCGCGCCGGGATAGGAGTTCTTGCGCCACAACAAAAATCTCGGTTCTTTCTTGCATATTTCTTGGAAATACGCCTCGATTTTGGGTATGTCTTCGGGCCGGTTTTGGGCGCCGTCCGGTATGAGTTTCTTGCCGGCATCGGCCATGTACCGCCAGGTTTTCCTGGTCAACAACCATCGTTCCTTGGGCTTGGATTTCTTGCTCTTCTTGCGCACTGACTTACCCATGGTGATCGAATATTCCGTGGATTCGGTGCTGGCACTTCTACCGAGCGATTTTAATTTCGACGCTTTCTTATCAGACATGTTTCGATTCAATGGCGCTACGTTCACAAATCATTGGAGAGACTGTCCGCATGAAATATTCATGATTAAAAATTCTGTTGGCACTTGCACTTGGTTTATAATCTTCAATTAAAATATTTTTCAACAATGCGCTATATAAAATAGTCTAAATTTGAAACTACTTGGCACTAGGGTTTCGAGCGTAGGATTCCGAAAATTCTCTATAGCTCGATTCTATAATTTAATTTGGGATTTTTCGGATTGCTTTCGGATTTTTCCATCACTGATCACTTCGATTAGAGTCAAAATTCGGCGGAACTGATTAGGGGAGACCGGTTTTATTTCGAATTCCGTCGACGAACGGCCGCAGGCGAATTTCGAGTAGCCATTTTCCGTTATGCGATTATTATTTTTTTGAATACGCGGACACACTAGCCGAGATCGACTCGAACTGAGGAGACAGACCTAAGAGCGCGAGTTAGTGGAATAAAAATATCACATTTGGCAACAGATATGTTGTGTGCTAGACGTGAAAATAAAGATAAATATTAGATCATAGAATAAAGTTTACGTAGAATATGAAAAATTGCTTGACGATTTTTTCTTTCTTTTCAAACACTTAAGGATTAACAGGTTGGCTATTTTCGAACAAGGCTATAACGATATGTATATAACGTACTTATTGCATATATTTGTTTGAAACTCGAATAGAGGTGGCTTCTTTAAACATCCATATCCTCTCCTAATGTTTAATTAATATTATTAATATTTCCTTTAAAATTTTACATGCAAAAAGTGCGGTAGTAGAGTACATACTTTTCTACAATATTTTTTTACATCTCGGCAGGCATAACTGAATTTGTCATGGTCAAAAGAAACAGTATTTATCCAATATTTTAATTAATTATTTTTCTGGTATTAACTAAATTATTTATCGTTAGAAATTAATTCTTCTTTGGTTTTATTACTAAACATTATTTTACTACAGCCTAAAAACAAATAAATTCAAGCTTGTACTTCTAATGATTTGCTAAAATGCTATACTGTATGCAGTATATTTATGAAATTTATAAAGTGCGTCCTTAAAATCCCCGAATCGAAATAACTGCATTTAGGACGGTCGCACCTTGAGTTTATACTTCGAAAATATACACTTTTGAATAACTTATCTAATGCAGTTTGTTTATTTTTCCCATATTATATTAGAAGTGGGTCAAGTTTTGTTTTACACGGGCGTTCGTTGCGCGTTGATATACGACACTATAGTTTCGTTGTAAAAGATTGAGCCAAACATCTAAAAAATATTACGGAAAAATTTAATTTATACTTTACTGTGATATTGAAACTGTACTTGGTTCTCCCGCAGAATATTTTTGCGAGAGAATTGCAGCGATAAAAAATTTGTAGAAAGATTGGCTTGGAAAAATTCGGAAATTTTCACGTAGAAAATGATTGCGTGCGGTGCGGTTTAATAAAAATTTGGGCTCCCGTTTATATTCTTGACTTCGTCCAGCTGACTACATGGAAACAGTTTAATTTTACACACCGAAATCGCTCCGAAACTAACAAGTGCTTTAACAGTTTTACACTTAACGCGCTTTTAACAGGATCGTCTTACAGAAGTAACGTTTTCGCAATTTTCAAATAGAATAAATAATTAATTTCTTTTTATTTATTTGCACAAAAATCTATACAGTGCATTTCTTTAATGTCCCCCCCCCCTTTTATTTTTTGAACGGGTCAACTTAGAAAATTGAAATTTGGGATAATGAAACTAATGCATGATTACTATATTTTGGAGTAAAATTGACAGACGAAAATTTCAAGATGGCGACTGGGCGCCATCTTGGAAAATAAATTTAAATGGAAAGGGGGGTCTTGTGATACATCATTTTGAAGCTCCTGACAAATACTCTACAACCCTGGAATATAAAGTCAATATCTGCACCTGCTACAAAATGGCGGACATTTAATAATTACCTGAATAAATCGACGTTTAACGTCATAATTTGAGGAAATAAGCTGAGTTCTGTTCAAAAAAAGCTCAAAATGGTTGCCTTGAACTTCTTGATACAAGAACAGCCTATCCGAACATTTTCGAACATAGTAACGTCGATATTTTTACAAATATCTGTAATTATTTCTCGTATATCCAATATTGAAGCAGGTTTAGTTTCGTACACATTTTGCTTCAAATAGCCCCATAAAAAAAAGTCTAAAGGTGTCAAATCTGGTCAAATTCTGGTCAAATCCATTCCGTAGGACCTCGACGACCAATCCAACGATCCAACGACCAGGGAAAATAGCATCCAAATAGTTCATTACTTGTCTGGAGTAATGTGGTGGTGCTCCATCTTCCAATGGACGAGAATTGGCCATTTTAGAGTTAGTTGACGTGCTACCTAACTGCAATGAGAACTAAACAACCGAAAACTAAATGAAAATACTTTGAACACTGGGAGAATCGAAAACTAAAGAAAATATTTTGAACACTAGGAAAACCAAAAACTAAATGAGCATATTTTGACTAAACAATTAATGTTCGTTGTCGTACTTAAATTTTTTGGAATTTTTTTAACCAAAAATAACCTGTCAAACCTTATCGGTTTGCTGGGATTGCTGTTTGCCATAGAAAAACAAATATTTCTAGAAAAATTGATATTATTTTGTTTGTATTCAGGTAATTATTAAATGTTCCGCCATTTTGTAGCAGGTGCAGATATTGACTTTATATTTCAGGGTTGTAGAGTATTTGTCAGGAGCTTCAAAATGATGTATCACAAGACACCCCTTTCCATTTAAATTTATTTTCCAAGATGGCGCCCAGTCGCCATCTTGAAATTTTCATCTGTCAATTTTACTCCAAAATATAGTAATCATGCATTAGTTTCATTATCCCAAATTTCAATTTTCTAAGTTGACCCGTTCAAAAAATAAAAGGGGGGGGGGACATTAAAGAAATGTACTGTATAAAATAAGGTAAAAATAATAGCAGGATTAAAATAAATAGGATTCAATAATGAAGGTTAGAGTTACAAAGAGTTCTGAAAGAGGGAAAAATAGGGGAATAAAAAAATATTATACTATAATACAAAAAACCTCTACCCAATTCATTAAACTTTATTACCAGAAGTTTGAATTGTAAAATTTGGCGGACGTGAATTTCTTTTAGTAACCACCATTTTTACTAATAATCAGTTATAGCATACATTGATTGATAATGGGTACTTATTATTTTGGAATATATTAAGTGTAATAATTAATATCTCTAACTAAGTGTGCAGTTCTCAAA